TAATTTGGTATTCATTATTTCAAAGATTTCCTCCTGCAACATTGAGGAATTAATTATAGTTTATTATATCATTCTAGTAATTTAAAATGTTGCAGAGTAATGGTTCTTGTTAGTAACCCTCCGTGTTGGTTATGATCAAAGAGGTTAATATAAATAATACAAAGAGGAATACTGTTATAAGGTTGTTCGGAAGTCACTTCGTTTCTTTACCATGAGAATTTAACTATATTTTTTTGAACCTAACATCACACTCAAGCCCTGTTGTTATTATATGATTTGAAAACTTATATTTTAAGGCTCGTATGTAAAAATTCTAATCATTTACATGCAGTAGTTTTTAGATGGTACCACTTTGAATACGGAAAGAATCAAGCAGCATTTTCGATATTTTTTATCTTTTGCTATAGAAAAGGTAAATATACTGTTTAAGTCAAAATGAAATTGACCGATGTGTATGGAAATGACGTGTTGATAGTACGTCTAAGATGTACCAACTTCACCAAAATGTGTACCAAAAAGTACGATTGAAGCTGATAAAGATGCAAGAAAGGCACTAGTTGATGCAAACCGATGACTAACAATACATGAGATCCCATTGAGTTAAAATTTATTAAATTTAGCAGTCTATGACCACTCAAAATGTCTGGGATTTTCCTTGAAACTCAATGTATGGTTCTAATAGAATGAAGCGTGTGTCGTTTGGCGTCCGCGTCCGCGATTCGCCTATGAAAAGTCTTGAAAATTATCAAGTGAATTGTCACTAAGAATTTCAAATGGGATGTAAAGAATACAATACATGCATTTGTCCATGAAACAAAAAAAAGCCTGCTCAAAACAGGTGCAAAGCTGAAATTTGCCAAAAAGGCAGTATGTTTGGTATGACTTTAAAGGAGTTGTTCATTTTTCAGCTTTTCCAGGATAACATAAAGGTTATTTTGGATGCTATATGTCATCAGCTAATAAACTAAATGATATAGTTCAATAGAAAAGGTCAGAATTAACCCACAAGCGAGGTATAGTATTGCATCAACATGACGCAAGACCTCGCATAAGTGTGGACATTTGCCAAAGCTTTTGTAGCTTTGATAGGACCCAATGACACATGCATCATATTTTCCAAACCTGCCATCATCGGACCATTAATTGTTCTGGTCACTAAAAATATTTTCAGGCGGTAAAACCTTTACCTCAAATCAGCATGTCAAAAAGCACTTTGATCAGTTTTTTGCCAATAACGACCAAAAAATGTATGTTCTCTGTATTATGCTATTATGCAGAAATATGACAAAAATGTTCGGTCAAAACTGCCAATACATAATTTATTTAAGTATTTGTTTATTGTATGAAATTACGTGACAAAATGTCTATAAAAAACGAAGTTACTTTCCAAACAACCCAATATATAATATATTTCATCAATTTTTTTTAACTAGCTATATTTACATTTGATTTACATAAAAGTATTTAACGATAACAATTTATGTTTAACATTTCAGTTGCCCTTATCTTTATTGAGAACTGCTCAGAATCATCCTATGGTATGTATAGCTATCCTAAGAATTTATTATTTATTTAAAATACTTATTTATTCAATGTTTTAGTTGGTTGAGTTGAAAAATGGTGAAACCTACAACGGTCACTTAGTAAGCTGTGATAACTGGATGAATATCAATTTGCGTGAAGTGATTTGCACCTCTAGGGTTAGTATAATTCTACAGTGCAACAATAAATATAGGTGGCAATTACTATTAATATTTGACTCTCTATAACAGGATGGTGATAAATTCTGGAGGATGCCCGAATGCTATATTAGAGGAAGCACAATTAAATACTTGCGAATCCCAGATGAAGTCATAGATATGGTTAAAGAAGAGACTATGGTGAAAGGCCAAAGACGAGGAGATATGAAAGGAGGGCGAGGTGGAAATCAAAGAGGTCGTGGTGGTGGAAGAGGATCTTTCGGAGGTGGCCGTGGAGGTAAACCAGCACCTCTTGGTAGAGGAGTGAATCAAGGCGGAGGAAATGTACAGAGAAATTTACAAAGCAACAAAAAACTAAAGTGACTTAATATTTATTTTAGATATTCATGTATTTTTATCATGTGTATGAACAAGTGATTTTATTTATCTTTCATGCTATTAAGAATTCCATGTAATATAGCAGTTTGTAATTCGTTGTAAATTATATCAAGCAATTTATATGTAATAAATATGATTTTCTATAATTTTTATTATTAAATTGGTTTTATTAAATGTGAATAAACAAATCAGAGATGCAAATGCTCTATTACAAGAGTATAACAATTATCCGCTTACTTAATTTATTTAAACAAAAAAATTAGTATATATTAAATAATAAAGTAATTAGGATCAAATCATAAATCAGGAGAAGCGATTTTAGAAATTCAAAGCATATTTACTTAACAACATCAAGTAATAAAATAAAATATTACTTATTACTTTTGTACCATTTTCATAAATAGTTTTTGGAAATAAATCCATTCACGTATGCCCCTGATATTATTTTATTTTTTTCAAATATTATGTCAATTTGAAAAATATAAATAAAACAGTAAGTCCCTGCTTTCATTAACACACATAAATGAGAAATTTTTTCAAATTGTAATTGTTGCATGTTTTTTATTCTTAATTAGCGTTGCGTGCGCAATTTCTGTCTGAACACGTATAAAATACGTAAAAGTAACAAAATTTTGTAAAATGATTAGCCACCAGTAGCGTACTTTAAAACAAAATTTAAAAATTGTAACTAAAATTGTAAACATTTAGTAATTTCATTATACATATTCATAATCGGAAGAATACTATAAAAACCTACGAGCGCTCCAAAGTAATTAAAATAAATAAATAAATTAAAAGTTTGTTAGTTTTATCTGTTTAATCAAACAAAAATATAATAAACATTTGATTTTAGTAAGAGTGAAATGCTCTTCAAAACCTCTCTTTATTATTTGATAATGGACATTAAATATAGTAATGAAATATTTAAAAAAAATCGAAAGCGGAACTATCGTGCCATCTTGAATGTTTAAATAAAATTTACTTTCTTAGAAATTCTCTTTCAATAATTTTATTAGTCACTAGGTTAACGTGCTCTGATTTGAATCAAAACCAAATTACTCCAAGTTATGCTTCGGTAACTTGACTCAGATAAATTATTTGTTTTCCATGATAATTCAAAAGGTAATATATAGCATATTTTTAGAAAACAGGCGGTAACATAATTATATTTTTTAATAAATTAATAAATAATTTTCAATTTTAAGATTCAACTATATAACCCAAAATGTATTCATAAATCCAGCAAATAGAATAAAAAATCATTGGATTATATTCCTTGTAATGTTTTATGTTTTAAACTGATCACAGTTGACTTTCACACTTATTAATTAAAATACATTTTTAAAACACGAAGTAGAATGAAATGTGTTAAATGAAAACAATTGATTGATTTATTAATGCAATTATAGATATAGAGTTTGATTGAAAGATATCAATTGGAAATCGCACTTATTGGTTCGTAGCGAAAGCAAAAACATTATTTTCAAAGAAGGAGTGGAAATTTTTAGCTAAATAGCTGAATCTCAACAAAAATGTTTATAAAGTCGATTGTTTATACATGTCATGTTCAACGTGGAATTTTTCCTTAAGAAAAGTTCATGCACCCTTCCTTAAGAATAATGCTACTCGCACCTGGTTTGATCAGAGTTATTAATAATCGCCGTTTATTATCATATTTAATATTAACAATAAGAATAATTACATTTTTATTATAACATACTGAATTTATTAAATTATTTATCAACAAATCCTTGTTGCAACATGGTCTGCAGATTTGGTTATAGGGTTAGTCAATGTATAAATATTTGTTTCTGAAATAAATATTGTTATTTAATTAAAATAACAGAAACATACCTGTTCAAATCAAAAACGTGCCTTCAGGCAATTACTGGGACTTAAAATTGTCGGAGAAATTAAAATTATCTAATAATTAATAACAATATTATTTTAAATATTTTCAAATAGAATATTTATTATAAATGCATACTGTGAACTTATAAGTGCTTATTAGATTGGACGACGATGTTTACAAGAAATTTGTTCGCCTTTTTCAAGTCTTGATGTTTTTGAAAATTCTGAAATGTTCAAAAAATTTGATTTTTTTGGTAATTCTGAATTTTTTTCAAAATTGTGTTGCTTTTTTTAAAAAAATGCGTTTTTTAAATTACTTGAGAATTTGGAAATTTCTTAATCATTCGATTTTTTGAAAATTTCAAAATATCTGAAATTTTAGTAACATTTTTTTTTGAAAATTATTAAAAAAAATTAAATTTTGAATTTTGTTTTTTTTTTTTAAAAAAATTCGAAAATTACGAAATTTTCTGTAAAAGCAATTTTTCACACACTCTACACAAGCAAAATGTTCTTCAAATGATACTTTTTTTCAAAAACTACTTGATCATTTTTACACCCTTTGCTCTCCATACGTTAGAAACGATACGAATGTTTTTTCAGTATACGATCCGAATGTTTTTTCGATCGTTCAAATCGGTTATGCCATATTGTCGAAAATATCGAGGACATTTTTTGAAACTATATAAGTGAACTTTAAAATTACAAATCTTGGTACGGGACTCTCCACAAAAATTGACACAAAATGTGTACACATTAATAAAATCTTTATAAAATGTTTGATAATTTCATTATTATAATTAATGATTATTTTTTACCAGCGAAAGTATGCCAAAATGTTAAGAAATCTTTGAGATAAATAAAAAATTTTCGATTCGATTTTTTTGCGATTACTATAACTCACCCTGCGGGAAGTTAATAAAAAATAATACGATATTTTGGTAACAAATGCTTCCACTTTATATGGATTTTTGATTATCCATCCTATATACTAAGAAAATTAGGATCCGAAATGATCAAGTAGACTTTGTCAAATGAGGAATTTTAATTTGAATACTTCGAAAATTTTTTTTTATTTATAATTATTATCTATTATTTCGTCTCTGGCAGCAAGTACAAGTACAAATCTAACTCGTTCACTTATAAATTTTACCTCAAGGCGCCTCTGTTTCTTGAAGCGCGAATGGAAGAAAGCATTTCGCCTTCGAGTGAAATTTGTATCCGGTATAAGTTTATATATATTTAAACATTAAAGTCGAAGAAGACTGTTTCATTTCATCTTGTTTCTTTGTACTTGCAACAGCATGAAGTTAATCTTGGTATGTACGGTGATTTTGTGGAATTCATTCCCATTGTGTTTTTAATGCTTTGTGCTACATATTTGGATACGCGTCTGGACGTTGTAAAATACAGATTTGAATGTGTGGAAACGTGTTTAATGGAATAACGATTTTTAAAAATTAATAAGTGAAAATGTAAAAAAATCAATAATTAAGTAATTAACTGGATTCACGAATTATAATAGGACTTATAGTGATTTAATTAAACCAATTAATTAAAATAAACTTATATATGCAAAGTATATAATTGGTAGAATATTTTTAACGCGTTAATTGTCGTGTGTGTCTGATTCTAAGAAGTAATACGGGAGCTAGAGGCTCGTTATAAAAGTTTTTTTTAATTAATATGTCTTAGAATCCAATGATTAAATTTCTACAAAATAAAGATATAACTACTTCTCTAAGTGATATTAATTCCACAAATGTTGTTTATTATTTAACAATTAATTATTCTCTAGAAACAGTGCGGAGTTACAACTTACCCCGTGTTTGGGGGCTAGTTGTAACGTCCACGAAAGCAAGAAAACGACAACAATACCTCTGATGATTTATTTTTTTCTTATTCTTAAGGAAATTGACTTGTTTCTAAGTAATTCTTTCTATCAATCAACGTAAACTATGATTAATATAGATAAAATATATTTATGTTTTCTATAATATAAAAGTAAACCGCTATTATTATAATAGAGTGTCTTATGTGATACAGCTATATTTTACAAACTATAAAATCCAGCCTATTTTTGTCACTTGTATTTATATATAATTCTTATATGTTACAAAACAACGAACTAAAGTTTTGTTTCAACCAACCCCAGGTGTGATTTTTTTACATTAATTAAGATAACTATTTAAACAATTTAGCAAACACAAAAGTTAATTTGGAACGTTAATTTAGATGAGTAAATATGGAACGAAATTAGATAAATAAAATTTAAAATTATGAATTATGTTATATCAACTTTATATCACCTGTCAAAAACGACGCACCTGCACAATTCTGTTTACTGCATCGGTCTGCAGAACAGTAGCTATGACAATATTATGCAAGACGGTTTACATGTCGAATCGAGAAAAGAAAATTATTATTTTTTATTGAAAAACGCCAGTTACTAGTTACTCCTTTACAAATAGCCCCTAGCTTTCCTCCACAAGCCATAAAGTTTTAATATAAAAAAATAATTAATACAGAAAAATGTCTGTAATATATGTGTGACCAAAAATAGTGTTTGACAAAAAAAAATTATTTGATATATTTTTAACTAAATTATCTAATACTAATACAGTTACTATGTCCCAAGAAAATTTCTTCCTGCAGAAAATTCTTCCGAAAATTTTTTATCGTGGCGTAGTGTTAAACGTGCTAAACAAAAAAAAAACTAAAATAAAATATAACAATAAACTCTAAATTAAATTAAAATATTAAACTTCTTCAAAACTATGTTGAAGTTTGTCATAATTTTTAGAATATATTTATACGGATCTTAAATTCAAAGTTTTGTTCTTACTATTTAAACTATTTAAAAATATCATAGTCGACGTACAAGCTTGAAAATACAACGTATTCTAAATTATATAAAAAAAATAAGTTAATTGAAATATATCAAAAAAGTTAACGTTGTTTATAGATTTAATTTTAAATTACTTTTGAAGATATTTGAAATTTGAAAAAAAAATCTTTATTCAAATTTATTTTGAAAATATACATAACAGTCAGCAAGGATTCGTAGATTTCAGAATACAACGTTCTTTAAATTATGAAGAAATTAAAAAGTGTGTGGCGATAAATCGATTGTGATCATAATATTTATATTTAAGCATTCTACGAAGTGAAATTATTTGTTTCTAAAATAGATAATCAAAATCTAAGATGTCCATAACCATTTAATTTTTACTAGAATATTAAATGTGTTTAGTAATAAAAATTTCAATACTCTACTATTTTTTGCGTATATGTAATACTAAATTGATTTGTTTATAATAAACAATTATGAAATATATTAATAGACAAAATATATCACAATGCGTTATATATTTGTGGACCGTATACGACTTTTAAATTTTTGGCGTTTTTATACCACAAAATTGTAATAAAGTTTTAATCACTTCGTCAAAAATCGAACTGATATATGTGTCATATAGTAAATAAAGTAAAAAAATATTTAAACAAATTTATATATTAGTACACTACATTACCAATTTATTTATAACAAGTAACACATTAATTAAATTATTCAATGTATTAACCAATTATTAAATTTAAAAAGAAAAGTAAAATTATTCAACATTATTAAACTCGCTGTTTAACACTATTTTTTAAATGTGATTGAAAAGGTAATAATGATATTGATATTTAAAAAACAATGAATAATCTTTGTAAGTTATACTGGTTTCATAACAATCATTAGAATGATTATACGCTTTATACGTAGATTTCTAGAGATTCAATTAAAAATTAATATTAATTTGTAAAATTTTCGCAGGTTTTGTCAGCTTTGCTGCTTGTATCAGCTGAATTTTCTGATAGCGATAAAAAGCTAGAAAAGCGAGGATCAGTACACTTTGCTAATCAAGGAAATGGTGAATTATCTGATCATGATAGAAGACATGATTATTTTGCTAAAAGTATCACTTTGGACTCAGGATTTGTTCCAAGCTTAGGATTATCCTATGATAACTTTGGTAAGAACATTGGACAAAATTATTACGAAGGGAATGTTATATTGGGAAGTTACTCACAAAACTCCGGACTCTATGATGGTAAAGGAATACCGGAAAATTCAATACATGGAGAAATTGTGCCTCAAGCATATGCTAAACCAGTTCAATACAAAATAGTACAAACAACTACTGCGCCTTTATCTTTACCTTATAGAGAACCTGTAGTTCGATATACACAGACACCTACATTTAAGCCATCCAGGATTTCATTTCCGGATAATAAAGAACCTGGCCTAGATCAGCCTATTATTCTAAGTTCTTTGGGCCACAAAGAAAAGTTGCGAGGCGGGCAAACTTATAGTGTATCAGGAAGTTATACTTTTGGTCCCAACAAAGGGCACAATTATCGAAAGGGAATCGTCAATTCCGTGCCTGTGGGACATCGCGTTCAATCAAATATAAAACAATCAAGTTATGTAAACACACCTTTAAAACTCAAGAGAAAAGGAGGTCAAGCAACTCAATATCGTTTTGAAGTTCCCCAGAAAACTACAAATTCAAGATCATCTATGTACATAGCGCATAAATCACCGTATAACACTTTTTCGAAAAAGTATTAATGTTGAATCCAATGTTTATTTGTTGAATTTTTATAAGATTATTTATATATTTATTTATTATTTATATAACTTTTTAAGAAAATATTTTACTACGTAGTGCTATGTATAATAGTAGTTCTAAAAATCAATATTATAAAACATATATTATCTATGATTTTATTTCGATTTGTTAGAATAAGATACATGCAAATTTAAATAATATTCTAGATAATTAAGTATTGTTGAATAGGTATTTTTATAATTTAAGTTAATATAAATTAATTTAATATTCATAAAAATATTCACAAAAATCTTTATGTTATCATTACATATGAAGATGAAAAAAACATAAAAAATTGAGGATCCTAAGTGTGTGTTTTTATTTCAAAAGTCGTCAAATAATAACAACGATATATTTTTTTTATAAAATTTATTTTACCTATATTAATAACATATCTAATTTCTAAATTAAACTATATATTAAAATGAGACTAGAAGTGGTGTGCGAAATGATGATCATGGTGGTCGTGATGCAAGTGATGTTTAACTAAAACTGGTGTATGCACTGGAACTGGAATAGCTTTGTGAACTGGAACTGGATAAGGTGCTGGAACAGGAACAGCTACTTTGTGAACAACTGGAACTTTCACTGGAACTGGCACTTGCACGGGGTAAGGGCTGTCCACTTGAACCGGAACGTTCTTGACAACAGGGACTGGGTATGGTTTAGGCACATGGACGGCATATGGTTTGTCCACTGGGTATGGTACAGGTACATTGTAAGGAACATGGACAGTTCTTTCTACTGGAACTGGTACAGGTTGAGCAACTGGAATTGCTACTCGGTTGACGGATACAGTGTGGCTCACTTGGTGGTTGTGCGAGGATTCTAATCCAGCAACTCCCAAACTGCTTCCACCTAAACTTGATAGACCTCCTCCCAAACCAAGTCCATGTCCTACCAAAGCACCGCCAGATAATCCACCGTGGCTCAATCCATGTCCATATAATCCTGCATCACCTAATCCTAATAAACCACGTTTAACAACTTTTTTATCATCTTCGCCATACACTGCGGCTACCACAACAATGAGTACCACCTGCAAAATGTAATATATTTTTCTAATTTATTATTACGTTTCAAAAACGTTTTTATTTTTCGTCTTACCAAGAACTTCATGATTGTGCTTCTGTTTCGAGAGTTAGATATGATATGATTTTATTTCATACATTTTCTGCTTTTATAGTGATACCTATTTCATAAATTGTCTCAAACACCCGATGTCAAAAAACATAAATGACAACCGTTTGTTGTAACATAATGATATGATTGCATACTAAACCGCAAAGAGCGACATCGCGCTAATTAAATATTCAGATTTTTATATGACACATATTTATTTTGTCTTGCTCTGGATTTGTTACTCAATACTTTCGATCTCACTCTTCCTTATATTTCACTTTTGATAATATATATATATATATATATATATATATACGTATATTTAAATCAATTATTTATGAATATAAAAATTTGCTGATTTCCTCAATATTGAAAATTCATCTCACTAATTTAATTTTCTAAATTGTATCGAGTTTATATTTCTAAGTATTACAGAAAACTAATAACAAAAAATAAAGTCTGATATGAAATTATAATTAATAATCTGCATAATATTAATATTTAATTTATATTAGGTACACAGAACGATTATGATCTTCGAAGTTGTAAATGATTTAAAAAATAAAACGTTCAATGCGAATGAATAAAAACTCATTAATATGTTTCAAATTGAATAATAAAACGCGGCAATATTTATACACCGATATTAATTTCACAGTACATCATCATTTGAAATATACTAAATTTGTTTCATTAAGGCACACAATTTCTTGTTCATAAACATTTCTTGACCCAATTTCACCAAACATTTCGAACTTGAAAATTCAAAAATTGCTCAAAAAATATAAATAGGGATAGGACTCGTGTTGATTAGTTCTTAAAAACTTTATATCGGGATGGAGTGGATGGTTTAAAAAAAACCTAAAATATTACAGGCCTAAGAAAAGACGGTTTAATTATAAAAAGTTATCAAAGCTTAGAAAAATACATAAGGCAAAATATCACTTACACCTAAAATTAACTTTCATTTATTAATATTTTTATGTGCAGCTTTAATTAGGTACGTTTTAGTAAGATTGGTGCATTTTATGTAAAAGTAATGCAAGAGCTAACCGTGGTTTTTATTTTTTTTAAAGAAAACTAGTGGTGCATCAAATCGTGCTTTAAAGCAAACTTATATAAATATTTAGAAAACTTTTTAAAAATGAAATTTTTGAGAATTATGAAGCAGTCGCTATGCGTAGCTGATTTAAAGTCAAAATATCAGAGCGCGTAATCGCCGCTTTAACGATTATAACGGTTAAACAATATAAATCTTGGCATGGAAGCCATAGAAATGTAAACCAAATTAGTACTTATTATGAAAATATCAAATAATTTGATGTGCATACGTCTTTTTTTCATTGGTTTTCCAAAACTGCTGCATCTGCGTTTCCAGAAAGATTATCAATTCTTGAATTCATCAATACAAGTGGAATTAATATGAATCAATGTTTTTGGATCATTAAAATCGGTTGGTCCGTGTTCTCGAAATAATCGAAGAAAAAATGTATCCGCACTTACACACACACATATATATACATATATATATATATATATTTATATATTAATTGTTTAATATGAACAAAACAGCACTCAGATTTGTTTAACACAACTTTATTTTATGATTACAGACGTACTTCAAATTTGTTTAGAATATTTCTGTAAGTGTTATATGTTTCTTTAGTACGGTGTCAAGCATTGCAAGGAATAGTTGGTGTTTTTTGTATATCAAAAATTAAATGAAATTTAAATAAATTATTAAAGAATTTGTAGTATATAAGTAACTGTTTTTGAAATTACACTGAAGATGAGACACACCATGGTCTCGAAACGTCTGTAATCATAAAATAAAGTTGTGTTAAACAAATCTGAGTGCTGTTTTGTTCATATTAAACAATTAATATTCGTTCCACTCATATTTATATATATATATATATATATATATATATATATATATATTCATACACCCACACATACATCCATTTTGTCTAATTATAAGGCATGCAAAATATTGAGAAGGTTTCAAACGTAAATATATATATAAAATTTTATTTTCTATTTTTACAATTACAATAACTTTGCCCTACGAAAATTTAATGAATTATACTGTTTTCTATCGCAACTATATCTGGTATATATTATTTATAGACGGATGTTTATTTATTTCTTAAATTACGCGATCTCTTAAAATTCTAGTTTTTAAACAGAATTTGAGTCCAAAAATATTGGTATTTAAGAAAAATGTGTGATAATATGAATTAGGGAAATTTATAAGATATATTTCCAAAAAATAAACACTATAATTATATTTATTATTAAAAGCATATTAAACTGCACATACAATTTATATGTTTAAATAAATGTAGTTTTGTAAATATATTAATAATAATACATTTACTATATTATATTGAAATATTATGTTCAAAAAAAGATCCTGAGAAAATATATATTTTAATATTCCAAATTGAATCTAATCAATTCACTATAGTTCTTTGAACATAGACCATATTGTTACTTCAAGTTACGTTTAAAAAGTATTACAAAAATCTCATATAAATAAAAATAGATCATATATCATACAAGAATTCATTTATTCATTCAGCAATATCACAATCATATAAAACTAAATTATTTTTGAAACTATTCTAGTAGTGGTGAGCGAAATGGTGATCATGATGATCGTGGTGTAAATGATGTTTTACTAAAACAGGTGTGTGTACTGGAACAGGAACGGCTTTGTGAACTGGAACGGGATAGGGTGCTGGAACTGGAACTGCTACTTTGTGAACAACTGGAACCTTGACTGGAACTGGCACGTGTACGGGGTAAGGTCTGTCAACAGGGACTGGTACGTTCTTGACAACCGGGACTGGATAAGGCTTGGGTACGTGAACTGCATAGGGTTTGTCTACTGGGTATGGAACATGTACTTTGTATGGTACATGAACAGTCCTTTCTACTGGTACTGGAACAGGTTGAGCTACTGGAATTGCTACACGGTTCACGGATACGGTGTGGCTAACTTGATGGTTATGAGATGATTGTAATCCAGCAACTCCCAAGCTGCTTCCGTCTAAACCAACGCCCGATAAACCACCTCCCAAGCCAACTCCTGAAAATCCTCCGCTCAAGCCAAGTCCATGACCGCTGGAAAATCCTCCGTGGCTTAATCCATGCCCGGATAATCCGGCATCGCCCAAGCCCAGCAGTCCTCGTTTAGCGATTTTTTTATCATCTTCGCCATAAACGGCGGCGACAATAACAACTAACACTACCTAAAAATTTAAGTGAGAATAATAATTCATACTAATAATAAGTACTGACACCAAAAAATATTAATATTTTAATTAAAATTGTATAACTGAGTGTATTCAGGATGCAATTTATCAATTATATAATTTCAATTATTGTATTATTCATTAGATAATAAAGAAAAATGCACAACTAACCAAGAATTTCATTTTGTTGTTCTCCTACGTTGTGATGAACTAAGAATGATGTAGATTCAGAATATAAAATCTCTTTTATATCCATTTAGTTGAGACATCGCCATGTCTAGCTTTTGAAACAGTTGTGACAGATCAAGTTCCTCGTTGAGTTATTAATAGTTGCAAAAACGTTCAAGTTATGAGGCTTAATATTAATTTTTGAAATAAGTTTTTTATTAACCTTTTATATGAATTGTGATGTTTTTTGAACGGAGATTCGAAACGTTTCTAAACATAATGACAAAATATAACTAAACTCATTTTCGCCTTTGAACGTTCAAATTTTTAGTTGTACATATATTATGTTTAAAAAACTTGTAAAAAAAACTCAAAAAATCACTAAAAAAATGTATCGATTCTAAACTTGAGTATACTGCACACGTTCTCTTCTGAGAAACTCTAGATAAACAATTGTATTCAAAATCTATAATTATAGGTACAACATTTGATACATAAAAATATTTTTTTAGCAATTGTATGCTTTTATTTTTATTGTGCTTACTTAATAGAGAACGCAAAGATTTTAATTTTTTACATTACATTCACTTCTCGACTTCCATTAAACATATTAAGAATGAATAAAAGTAATAAAATAAAACATAGATATATTACTTAGTGCACATTTTAACTGACATATAAGAAATATGTAGTAAGATTTTCAATCACCGCTAGAAAGTTATTCTAAAATTTACAGCTACATTTTTTATTACCTTGATAATTTCCTGGTAAAATTTAAAATTGTCTACGTACATAACCAATGTCTTATATTGAACTCATTGACCACAACAATGCTATGTATAAATTGAACTTTTTTGGACATAAATTTTATTGTGTTTTTAACATCTATTTCTAAAAGCCATCAAAATGGCCCATCAGTTTTCTCCAGAAATGGTATCGCTATTAAGTAAGACTTGAACAGAAATTTTAGACAAACTTTTTTTTTCTTATATTTTATTAAAAAATATTTTGTTTGATTATATGATTATTTTATAAACTACCAAAAACAAATCAGTTATCAAAGGTCCATTTTGACTTTGAGCAATTATATTGCGAAAATCAAAACAATTACATCATAACAAATAAAACATAGCAAACAAGCTAATATCTGACTATGTTCAGTAAAATCATCATTTTAGAAATGTATTTTTTTTGCTGTTTTACAAAAATTTATAACCTGTTTTTTTTATCCCACAGACGAGGTAAATTGGGACGGCCAAATAATAGATACATTATTCAACCAATGCAAAATATAAACTTTATGGGTGCATTTTGAACATAGATAACACTGAAATTAACCTTGATCTGACATTTTATCAGAAATATTCATTAGCAGCGTTAGAATAACTATTTATTTTTGTTGCTCTTGTAAAATTGCTCATTGTAAGTTAATTTACTATTTTATTTGCTACTTTTTATTTGATATACCTTTCCGAGGGTGAAGGTTTAGTTGTATTAATTAGTTTCATACAACATGTTTTGAATTTTAACAAAACTGCTTAATATTATATTAAATAATGAGCTATTTTA